CAACCTATTTCTAGGTAGGTTGAAAAATAATGTGCTCATTTTTATTATATTGCGGTAACAAAAGAAGAAACAAGAGATGGGTTTGTTTGCCAAGTACAATCGTATGATAAAGGAAAGTTCAAGTTATTGTATTTTGATCTAGAAGATAATAGTGGATTAAGACTTGCGCTACGGGAGAATAGTGCCAAGATGAAAAAAGTTACACGATTACATCTGCTGAAATGTATGCTACATGTATTTTCCGTCTATGGTGACAACTTTTCAAAAGTGCAAGTTATTCAATAGAAGTTATTTGTGCCGCCCCTTTCATAGAGGAAAAAGAGAACCTTAGACAGGTGCTTGGATGCCTATAGAGGTGTTTTGAAGAACAATACCAGCTAAGAACCTTGAGGACAAGGTTCTTTTCTGAGGGGATGGTATTGTTATGAACAAGGGATTAAGAGAGAGCAACCAAGTCGACTTTCATAACCACTACAGTTGTACGAGAGAACACGTGTCAAGAAATAATTAACCTTGGAATTCAAGAAGCCATTGATGATATTGTTGATGTAATATTTGTATCTTTGGCAAGACCAATGAAGTACCATACAACTTACTTTCAAGAAAAGATGAATCTTAGAGCTTTTCGTGCCATTAAAAAAAATATTGTGGTATGGTATTAGCTGCGAATTTGGGTGATTAAGTAATAAGTTTCATACCACCCTGGGTAATTATAGTTGGATCATATAATTCTGGAGGTAGTTTATAACAAATATTGAGTTAGGAAGTCGAAAAATATTGAATGTTATTTTTATTTCATATCTGAAACATATAATACTAATTAAGTTACTGCTTATTTTTAATACATATATTTTTCACCATATAGGGAATTGGTTCATTTATTACTTAAGATCAAGAAAACCATGAACATGAAGTTGTTTTGTGTTCCAAGTAAGTTAATTATCATTCATAAGATTTTAATTTTTATATTTTAATAGATTGAACTACAAACATTTTTAATAGATTGAACTACAAACATGATTAATGTCTTGTAGTTGTTATAAAGAACAATTAAGGGAACAAGCATATATGCAAACAAATGTGGTTGTTTGTCATCACATGGGTTTTGCGATAACTTTTACTAGGTTTTTGGTTGGTTGATTGGTATTCTAGTTTTCTTGAATAAGTTTGATCCTTTTAAAATAAGCCTAGTGAGAATTAAGTGTAATTTGTTTTCATTTTCCTCTTTTTTCAACAAATAACCAACCTTTCTTTAGCATTAAGGTCAAGTATGCAACATTTTTTTATGTAGAAAATCTTATAATATTTTTGGTTTTCAGGTCTTCTCCAAAATGGTTTGATGGTCTAGATGGAAGGAGCTTACAACTCCATTTCAGATCCATGTTGTCCCTTCCTATTTTCACAGCAGTAAAGGTAAAAACTTTGTGTTTATATAAATATGATATCTCTTTCAATCTCTTCAAAATCTCTAAAATTCTATGACCCTAATTTTTCAATCCTCCTCCATTCTCGATCGTTTGTAAAATTTGAACAATTAATTATTCGATTGATGAATGCAGAATATAATTATCCAACAAACAACATTTAGGATGCAAAAATTTGGAATGAACAAGCAAATACAAAAAGAATTGGAGGTCGAATATAAAATTTCAGAATATAAAATTTGCTTTTCAATAAATTATTTTTATAAAAAGTAATTTTAGTTAGCTGATGAAAAGAAATTTTTTTAAATTCTTTATAACTAGTAAAATATATGAATTAATTTTGAATGAAGAAATAAAAATTTTACCTTATGTAAGGAACTTTTATATGACCATCTTTCCATTTTCGTTAATAATATAAAAAAATATTCTTATCGTGAAATGATATATGATTAATATTTATGCAAGAGTCAATGATCCCAATAACGTTTCTATTTTTATCAACATCTGAAATTTTATATTCGACCTCAAGTTCTTTTTGTATTTGCTTGTTTAACCCAAATATTTGCATCCTGAATGTTGTTTGTTGGATAAGTGTATTCTGCATTCATCAATCGAATAATTAATTGTTCAAATTTTACAAAACGATCACGATTGGAGGAGGATTGAAAAATTAAGGTTTATAGAATTTTAAATATTTTGAAGAGATTGAAAGAGATATCATATTTATATAAACACAAAGTTTCTACCTTTTGAAAATAGGAAGGGACAACATGGATCTGAAGTAAAGTTGTAGGCTCCTTCCATCTGGACCATCAAGCCGTTTTGGAGAAGACTTGAAAACCAAAAATATTAGAAGATTTTCTACATAAAAAAATGTTGCATACTTGACCTTAATGTTAAAGAAAGGTTGGTTCTTTGTTGTAAAAAGAGGAAAATGAAAACAAATTACACTTAATTCCCACTAGGCTTATTTTAAAAGGATCGAGCTTATTCAAGAAAACTAGAATACCAATCAACCAACCAAAAACCTAGTAAAAGTTATCGCAAAACCCATGTGATGACAAACAACCACATTTGTTTGCATATATGCTTGTTCCCTTAATTGTTCTTTATAACAACTACAAGACATTAATCATGTTCATAGTTTAATCTATTAAAATGTAAAAATTAAAATCTTATGAATGATAATTAACTTACTTGGAACACAAAATAACTTCATGTTCATGGTTTTGTTGATATTCAGTAATAAATGAACCAATTCCCTATATGGAGAAAAAGTATGTATTAAAAATAAGCAGTAACTTAATTAGTAATATATGTTTCAGATATGAAATCAAAATAACCTTCAATATTTTTCTACTCCCTAACTCAATAGTTGTTATAAATCTACCTCCAGAATTACATGATCCAACTGTAATTACCCAGGGTGGTACTTCATCATCCAAATTCCCAGCTGAATAGCATACCATAATTTTTTTTAATGGCACGAAAAGCGCCAAGATTCATCTTTTCTTGAAAGTAAGTTGTATGGTACTTCATTGGTATTACCAAAGATACAAATATTACATCAACAATATCATCAATGGCTTCTTGAATTGCAGCATCTGAAATTCCGTCTATGTTGATATGTAATGGATGTTTCTCACTTATGACTGCAGCTGACTTAGACATGACTGTGAAACCTGAAGAAATTGTAATGGAGAATGAAGAAATGGAAGGTATTAACCCTGGAATTCTATTATTTTCCTTTTCAAGGCTTCTACCTTTCACTTTCTCACTTAGCTATTTTGGATTTTATGGGGTTTTTATTTTATTTTATGGAATTTGGGAATCCACATATACTGTTATTTGGTTGTGGTGGATTTTATGCTGCAAAAGAATTAATAGGCACCGGTATGCCTTAAAAGTGTTGTGGTTATTTTTTATTTTAACTTGTCTGCTACTCATTGAATACTTTAAGTGTTGCAGGTGCCAAAGACGAGGGGGTAAGAAAGGTTGGTTTTACTCCTTTGGTTTATGGTTGATGATTTTCATATAATTGAATTACATGATTTTCAAAGAGGATTATAAATAGTTGACATTACTATTTCTTATGTGGTGGCTGAATGTGCAATTGCAGTGGTACGATGTAAATTTGTTTCTCAAAACGCCACAAAATATGAGAAAATATGATAAATAGGATTATAAATAGGACACATATTTTAAAACAACTATTTAAAATTATAAGCGAAAAATAAATGTATTGGAACAAAATCATGTTCGGACAATTAAATCATAAGCAAAAAATAAATGTTCCAAGTCTCCTCAGATCATAAGCAAACAAGTTTCAATGGAGAAAAGAAAGGATTCGAGAACCTAGGGTTTTTAAAACTATTAAGGTCCGAATAAGGGAGGAGATTGGGAGTAAAACAAATTTGAGGGAGTAAAAGCAGTGAAGACGGTGGTGTTAATGAAATATATCTTTGAGAAAGAGAGGGAGACACCTTTTAGCCTTTCAATTTGTTTTTGTAGTTAGTATTTAGAAATTCATACAGATTGTATCGTCAAGTATTTTTCCTCTGTTTGTTGCCTGGTTTGTTCAATTTTGAATCATAAATTTTCATTTGACATGTGAATTCAGATGAGTCACACAATCCAAAATACTCAGATGGACGAAGATATTTCAGAAAATGTAGAGAAAATTGGTATTCAACGACCCTCTATCTTTTTCCTTTTTTGCTTTTGAATGATATGTTTCTGCAGCTGATTCAGACATGACTGTGAAACCTGAAGAAATTGTTATGGGGGTGAAGTAAAGGAAGGTAATCCTAGAATTCTATGCCTTTCCATTTTCCTCTTTAATGCTTCGGTGTTTCACTTTCTCACTCGGCTATTTTGGATTTTATGGGAGTCTGTGTTCAATTTATTTTGATTTTATGGAATTTGAGAATTCACATATACTATTATTTGGTTATGGTGGATTTTATGCTACAAAGAATTACAAGCACTGGTATGCCTTACAAGGTTTACAAGTGTGGTTGTCTTTGATTTTAACTTGTTTGCTTCTCATTGAACACTTTATGTGTTGCAAGCAGCAAAACCCTTGAACCTTAACAGAGCACAGACGAGGAGGGAAGAAATGTTGGTTTACTCTTTTTGTTTGCTCTTTTGGTTTACCCTTAGAATGTTTTTCAAAGAGTGATTATAAATAGTTGGCATGATGCATTATTATTATTTTTATGAGGTAACTTGATTGTGCAATTGCAGTATTACACTGTAAAATTTTTTTCCTGGTTTAAGTCGTTACGAACAGGAATTGGTTTTTTACGTTCTTAAGTTAGAGTGATGAGTTAGTTTTTTACGTTCTGGTTTTATGGCTGCAGTATGCTATATGTTTTTAAATCTTATGTAAAGCATTCTAAAACTAGGAATTGGTTGTACGTTATGATTCAGAGTAATGAAATTCAGAGGTGCTCTAGTCCTCCTTCCTATGTCCTTCATGCTACTGATATAACATGTAGGATATGAAGGGGGTTTCTAATGAGGCCTTTCTTTTATAAAAAAAAGTCATTACGAATAGGGGTGCTTGATTTTAACCACACTTCCCAAGTAAGCATGGTTATTCCACTTCCACTTGATTCGGTTTGATTATTATATGTATGTTTAACTGCTACTTTGCATTGAATTGGATTGGATATTGAAATTGCTATTTTTCTTTTCCTATGTTTTTCATCGACAGTGAAGGAGTTAGTTATATTAGCAGCGTCAAAAATCCAAGAATAAAGGAAGTTTACATGACTGAGGAAGAAGCTGATAAAATTGCTGGTCCAGTTTACTAAATTTTAACTAATAAATTTGTGTGTTATATATGGAAATTAATGCATATGTTTATTTTGTTTTTCCAGGGTTAGCTGATGTTGAATTTGTGATGCCTGGGGAATATCATGTTCTATTTCCAAAGCCACCTACTCCACCTCGTGCAGAAGATCGTTATTATCCATGTTAAACATCTTTGGAGCCACCCGGTCCAGAAGCTGCTGGTGCAACCCCGCAAATATATTTGAATCCTTTGTTAATTCCGATTTTGGTTCGGTAATTTAGATAGCATTTGAAGGATTGAGTTAGATATTTGATCACTATATCCATGAATTTAGCCTGGTTGTATTAAGTGGATTTTATAATTGGTTGGTAATAGGGATGGATGCTTGGATGTTGACATAATGCCACCGTGAAAATATGTTGCTACATTCATCTGGAATTGAAACTTTGTTTTTCCATTGATTTAGGGTAAACTACGTGTTTAGTACCAAAATAAAACAAACAAAATTTTAGGTATGATTTTGAAAAAAATTGAAATATTAAGTACTAAAATAGATCAAAATTGATAGTTTAGGTACTAATTGTGTAGTTTACCCTTGAATGTATTTATAGGCCTGTGAGGATGATATCCTCTAAGAGGCTTGCACGTTCTCAAAGCAGATTATAAATAATTGACATGCGTGACACATTTGTGTGGTAATTGATTATGCGGTTGCAATTTTCAAAAAAAATAAATAAATAACTTCATGTTCATGGTTTTGTTGATCTTCAGTAATAAATGAACCAATTCCCTATATGGAAAAAAATATGTATTAAAAATAAGTAGTAACTTAATTAGTATTATATGTTTTAGATATGAAATAAAAATAACCTTCAATATTTTTTCACTCACTAACTCAATATTTATTATAAATCTACCTCTGGAATTACATGATCTAACTGTAATTACCCAGGGTGGTATGAAACTTATTACTTCTTTATCATCCAAATTCCCAGCTGAATAGCATACCACAATATTTTCTTAATGGCTCAAAAAACTCCAAGATTTATCTCTTCTTGAAAGTAAGTTGTATGGTACTTCATTGGTCTTGCCAAAGATACAAATATTACATCAACAATATCATCAATGGCTTCTTGAATTGCAGCCAGAAGTTCGTCATCATTTACAGCTATGTATGATTTTTCACGTATGTCTGATGCACTTCCATAAACCTTATAGGAATCAATCTGTGCATTTGGATTATCACCACTGATTTCCTTTGAAATTCCATCGATACCTTAAAGACACTCTAAACTTAAAAAAGAACCAACATCAATTGATGCAATATTAGTTCCATGACTAGTCCTATCTTCTATTAAAGCAGAACCAACCAAATCAAATAATTTGTTAAAATTCTTCAATGACAACATTTTTCTGCATTATAAAACAATACAAATGTTAATAAAGTAGAGTAATTACAATAAATTATTTTTATAACAAGTAATTTTGGTTAGATGATGAAAAACAAATTTTTTAAATTCTTTATAACTATTAAAATATTTGAATTAATTTGAAGGAAGAAATATAAATTTTACCTTCTCTAAGGAACTTTATATGACCATCTTTCCATTTGTCATCAATAATATCAACAATATTCTTATCGTGAAATGATCTGTGATTAATATTTTTGCTGGTGTCAATGATCCCAATAACTTTTCTATTTTTATCAACATCTGAAATTTTATATTTGACCTCGAGTTCTTTTTGTATTTGCTTATTCATCCCAAATTTTTGCATCCTGAATGTTGTTTGTTAGATAAGTGTATTATAAAATAATCAATCGAATAATTAATTGTTCAAATTTTACAAGACGATCGAGAGTGGGGGAGGATAGAAAACTTAGGGTTCATAAAATTTTAGAGATTTTGAAGAGATTGAAAGAGATATCATAATTATATAAACGCAAAGCTTCTACCTTTCCTGCTGTGAAAATAGGAAGGGACAACCTGGATCTGAAGTGGAGTTGTAAGCTCCTTTCATCTGGACCATCAAGTCATTTGTGAGAACACCTGAAAACCAAAAATATTAGAAGATTTCTACATAAAAAATTGTTGATACTTAACCTTAATTCTAAAGAAAGGTTCTTTGTTGGAAAAAGAGGAAAATAAAAACAAATTACACTTAATTCCCACTAGGCTTATTTTAAAAGGACTGAGCTTAATCAAGAAAACAAGAATTTCAATCAACGAACCAAAAACCTAGTAAAAGTTATCGCAAAACCCATTTGATGACAAACAACCACATTTGTTTGCATATATGCTTGTTTCCTTAATTGTTCTTTACAACAACTACAATACATAAATCATATCTGTAGTTCAATATATTAAAATGTAAAAATTAAAATCTTATTAATGATAATTAACTTACTTGGAACACAAAACAACTTCATATTCATGGTTTTCTTGATCTTAAGTAATAAATGAACCAATTCCCTATATGGTGAAAAATATGTATTAAAAATAAGCAGTAACTTAATTATGATTATATGTTTCAGATATGAAAAAAAATAACCTTCAATATTTTTCCACTCCTTAACTCAATATTTGTTATAAATCTACCTCCGGGATTACATGATCCAACTGTAATTATCCAGGGTGGTATGGAACTTATTACTTCTTCATCACCCAAATTCCAAGCTGAATAGCATACCACAAATTTTTTTAATGGCACGAAAAGCTCCAAGATTCATCTTTTCTTGAAAGTAAGTTGTATGATACTTCATTGGTCTTGCCAAAGATACAAATATTACATCAACAATATCATCAATGGCTTCTTGAATTGCAGCCAGAAGTTCGACATCATTTATAGCTATGTATGATTTTCCACGTATATCCAATGCACTTCCATAGACCTTATAGGAATCAATCCGTGCATTTGGATTAGCACCACTGATTTTCTTTGAAATTCCATCGATACCTTTAAGACACACTAAACTTAAAAAAGAACCAACAACAATTGACGCACAATTAGTTCCATGACTAATAATATCTTCTATTGAAGCGGAACCAACCAAATCAAATAATTTGTTAAAATTCTACAATGACAACATTTTTCTTCATTGTAAAACAATACAAATGTTAATATAATAGAGTAATTGCAATAAATTATTTTTATAACAGGTAAATTGTGTTAGATTATGAAAAGCAAATTTTTTAAATTCTTTATAACTAGTAAAATATATGAATTAATTTCGAATGAAGAAATAGAAATTTTACCTTCTGTAAGGAACTTTTATATGACCACTTTTCCATTTGTCATCAACAATATCAACAATATATTATCGTGAAATGATCCGTGATTAATATTTATTCCGGAGTCAATGATCCCAATAACTTTTCTATCAACATCTGAAATTTATATTCGACCTCAAGTTCTTTTTGTATTTGCTTGTTCATCCCAAATTTTTACATCCTGAATGTTGTTTGTTGGATAAGTGTATTTTGCATTCATCAATCGAATAATTAATTGTTCAAATTTTACAAAACGATCGAGAGTGGAGGAGGATTGAAAAATTAGGGTTTATAGAATTTTAGAGATTTTAAAGAGATTGAAAGAGATATCATATTTATATAAACACAAGGCTTCTACCTTTCCTGCTGTGAAAATAAGAAGGGACAACATGGATCTGAAGTGGAGTTGTAAGCCCCTTCCATCTGGACCATCAAGCCGTTTTGGAGAAGACCTGAAAACCAAAATTATTAGAATATTTTCTACATAAAAAAAGGTTGCATACTTGACCTTAATGCTAAAGAAAGGTTGGTTCTTTGTTGAAAAAAGAGGAAAATGAAAACAAATTACACTTAGTTCCCACTAGGCTTATTTTAAAAGTATCGAGCTTATTCAAGAAAACTAGAATACCAATCAACCAACCAAAAACCTAGTAAAAGTTATCGCAAAACACATGTGATGACAAACAACCACATTTGTTTGCATATATGCTTGTTCCCTTTTTTGTTCTTTATAACAACTACAAGACATTAATCATGTTCGTAGTTCAATATATTAAAATCTAAAAATTTAAATCTTATGAATGATAATTAACTTACTTGGAACACTAAACAACTTCATGTCCATGGTTTTCTTGATCTTAAGTAATAAATGAACAATTCATTATATGGAGAAAAAATATGTATTAAAAATAAGCATTAACTTAATTAGTATTATATGTTTCAGATATGAAATAAAAAATAACCTTCAATATTTTTCTACTCCCTAACTCAATATTTGTTATAAATCTACCTCCGAAATTATATGATCCAACTGTAATTACCCAGGGTGATATCGAACTTATTACTTCTTATTCACCCATATTCTCAGCTTAATAGCATACCACAATATTTTTTATTGGCACGAAAAGCTCCAAGATTCATCTTTTCTTGAAAGTAAGTTGTGTGGTACTTCATTGGTCTTTCCAAATATACAAATATCAATGGCTTCTTGAATTGTAGCCTAAAGTTCGTCAACATTTATAGCTATGTATGATTTTCCACGTATGTCCAATGCACTTCCATAGACTTTATAGGAATCAATCCGTGCATTTGGATTAGCACCACTGATTTCCTTTGAAATTCCATCGATACCTTTAAGACACTCTAAACTTAAAAAAGAACCAACAACAATTGACGTACAATTAGTTCCATGACTAATAATATCTTCTATTGAAGCGGAACCAACCAAATCAAATAATTTGTTAAAATTCTTCAATGACAACATTTTTCTGCATTGTAAAACAATACAAATGTTAATATAATAGAGTAATTGCAATAAATTATTTTTATAACATGTAATTTTAGTTAGATGATGAAAAACAAATTTTTAAATTCTTTATAACTAGTAAAATATATGAATTAATTTTGAATGAATAAATAGAAATTTTACCTTATGTAAGGAACTTTTATATGACCACCTTTCCATTTGTCATCAACAATATCAACAATATTCTTATCGTGAAATGATATGTGATTAACATTTACGTCGATGTCAATAATCCAAATAACGTTTCTATTTTTATCAACATATGAAATTTTATATTCGACCTCGAGTTCTTTTTGTATTTGCTTCTTCATCCCAAATTTTTGCATCCTGAATGTTGTTTGTTGGATAAGTGTATTCTGGAT